ATTGAGCAAATTGGGTAACAAGTCCAATGAAACCGTCGTTTTCAAGTCACAGCAAGAGATATTTCGATCGGATTTGGTGGGGGGGCGCAAGTTACTCCAATTTCAACTTTTCACGGCACCTCACATGCTTCCCATCTAACCATATCATATCCTTACCTTAGTTGGAGGAGGAGGAAAGAATGGGCTTCATTGAATGATTTTGGTTGGAATTCTAAATCTAGAGATAGGACACAAAGCCCACAATGGTGAGTGTTGGTGTAGGGAGAACTAACCTTAATACGGATTGAATTGAAGGCCAAGGTTGGAATGTTTCTCGAGAGAGAGCAAGTAGCATGCGCCTAAAGTTATCTTTTTTTTGCCATTCACCTCTTTTTACCGTAACTTTTTCTTCGCCTTTTCCCTGTTTCACAAAGAAACGCAAGCCTTTTCAGTCCAATTTATTATTTATGTCAATCTACCACTGGCCCTCAAAGACTCCCTTTATCCACAATGGGTGGCTGTGGCGTGTGGGTCAGGTGCTTAACAAGATCCAAATTTAGTGGTTGTGAGAGTTTTTGCATTGCTAAAGGTTCAAGCATAAAAAAACTTATTAGAAGGGACAATTTCAATGTCACAAGTGAACATTGGTCTTACAATTAAAAAATATAAAGAAAACTTATAAAGGGAAATAACAACTCCCTTTACCTTTTGTCCATCTTTCAGGTTGATTGTCGATGGACATATTAACCTTATATGCAAGCCACTTTTCACTATTGCTCTTTGGACAAACTGAATTTTTAAACTTTACATTTTATTGTGTCACCGTATTAATTGATTAGTAGAATCTATGTAACTCTTGATTCACAATAATACACATTCACATTACTATTATCTATTCATATGTTAGTGTAGCATTATTTAAATAACTTAAGAAAATGATACTTGTACAAACACTGATCTCACAAAACTTTCCCATATACTAAAATGGATTCGTAAATTATTTTATTTTATTTTTTTGTCAAAGGATTCGTAGATTTTATAGTGAACTCATCTGTATCATTCAAAATAATAGTTATTAGATTAAGATGTTATTTAATTATTCACATGAAAGTGAGCATGTAATTTATAAAAGGTAAAATCATTTCTGCAGCCGCTTTACGTACAGCAACGGCAGGTGTATGGTTATGATTCCCCACATTTAATGCTTTCATCCTTTATATGGTTATGATTCATCGCATTTAATGCTTTCAAGTATATATATGACAAGTATTTGATTGCTGCACGTATAGCAGCTGCAGAAATGTAAATCCTTTTATAAAAACACAGTTGGTATGAATATCATTATTCAATTTTTTTTTTAAAAAAGGCACTTGATAAAAAAAAATCCATCTACATATGAAATAGAATATTATGACTATCTTTTTTTCATGCCTACTTTAGTTATTCTTCTTCAACATAATCTCAACTAACATTCTTTCATTTTCATATTGAGATTGTGATCTCTTTATATTTATGGGTTTAACTTTTCTTATGTTGTAGGATTGTAGGAGAGAAAAAAAGTAGAGAGAAGTTAAATGTGGGTCCCATATTTTATATTAAAAAAGAAAAGAAAAATTATTTAGCACGGAAAACGAATTTGTGTAGGAAAATGAGATTACCTCATGTGACATGAGAGTATTATTTCCCTATATTTATATATATATATATATATATATATTATTACTTTTTATAAAAGTAGGAATAAATACATAATAAATGCAAGACTTGCATTCAACTTTGGGAGTCTTTTATTAGTACATTATCGTCTTTTATGTGTATTCACTCAGCCAAAGGTTATCCTGACCCTGATGTAACTATGGCGATCATCTCTGGCCTTACAATTTTTCTGATTAAAAAAAAAAAAAAAAAAAAAAACTCAAGTCTCTGTAGAAGCTGTTTGTCTGCCACTGCCGACGCTTTCCCCCCCCGTACTATAGACATAGTTGTTGACGTTGTCAAAGTGGGCCCTTATTCATGGCCCAATCCTTTTCATCATGCTACGCTACCTCAACTCCTCACGGCTAAAAGCTCCAAATATGTACGTTAAGTATAAACAAAATTATGTATACAAAAAAAAAAGTTTAAAAAAATATATTTTGGGTTGCTGAGAACATGGTCTTGTAATATATTGGGCTGGGCTCAACATTTATATTATTAAACTGCAAAAGGGGTGGGAAGCTGTGGAGGAAGATTTAAATAGCAGGAATTATTTTCTCTGTTTGCCTATCTGCGGAAACCTTTGCAATGGATTACTCAGGGTCCCTCTATGGCTCTATACGTTATGCAACATAGCCATATTATATATATATATATATATATATATATATATATATATATAGTGGCGGATCCAGGAAATTAATGAAGGGTAGTCACTTAATAAGCTCAGTATATATAAATTTGGGTTTGGTCTCTATATAAATCTGGACGGATTGCGACTCAACTGGACGATGATGGAGAAAGAAACAAATGTTCCAACTTCCAATAATGAAGATTGAAGTTTGAGAGGAGATGAATTAATATGTAGAAAAAAAAACTCACGGAAAAATAAAATAGAAGGAGAAAAATTAAATTGGAAAACTTAAATTTTAAGGAAATGACATTTTCCTATTTTTGGATCAGATTTAAGGGTGGGCACTTCCCCCCCTTCTCGACAACCTGGATCCGCTTATATATATATATATATATATATAGGAGAAGGATCCATTTATAAATTTTTTGTACAAATTTTTATAAATTACACTATCTTCACCCGGGAGAATATAGTATAACTAGTGTTCTCCCGGGAGAAGATAGTGTAGTTTATAAACAAAAAAATTTGTAAATATAACCTATCCCATATATATATGGGAAGTATTACTCTCCTTTTACATAAAATATCTTCTCTCATGTTCTCTCACTTCGATTTTTGTACCCCATCTTTTTCTTTTTTTCTTGTAATGGTGGGATCCATCTATTTTCTCTCTACAACATAAGATAATTATCTTATGTTAAATGAGACTAATAAAACCTTATATATATACACACACACACACACACAAATACCCGTGTCTTGTGTGTGCGCGTCATTTTTGTCTTGTGTATGCGCGATATGTGTCTTGTGTGTGCGCGTCATTCTTGTCTTGTGTGGGTGCGTCATTCTTGTCTTGTGTATGCGCGATACTCGGGTCTTGTGTGTGCGCATACATATATATATAGTGTGGGGTAAAATCATTTCTGCAGCCGCTTTACGTACAACAACAACATGTGTATGGTTTATGATTTCTCACATTTAATGTTTTCATCCTTTGTATGGTTATGATTCACTGTATTTAATGCTTTCAAGTATATATATGACAAATATTTAATTATTGCACGTATAACAACCGTAGAAAAGTAAACCCTATGTATATCAAAATTAAGTAAGTAGTTTGATTTACATCAGTGCTACTAACAAGCCAGCATGGTAGCACGGACAGTTATGTTACCTTATTTCAGTACTTTATGGGCTATGGGTAACGTATTAGTGAAGTATATACATCTTGCTTTGAATTGTTACTTCCTTTTCAACGAAAAACAAATTACATCAGTTAATGGCAATATAATTTATGAAGTTCAACACATTAAATTATAAAAAGCAAAAACATAATATAAAAAAATTAGTTCGATTCTCGCATGTGCAATAAGCTCTGCCCTTCTTCTTTTGCAGAGCATTATAGTGAAAGGACAGTTAGAAATCAAATTTAGACTTTGCCACATCATCTCTAATCTCCATCATGCTTGAGGTATTTAGAATATTGTAGAAGTCAAAAGTTGTAAAAAATTATGAATGCTTGAAGAAAACTCATAGAAGCTTGTGAAGACTTGGAGAAGCTTGAAGACTCTAGAAGAATCCAAATATTTCTTGAATTCTATAAATTTCCAACATATGATGAGTTGTCATCAAATTAGAAGCTTCATGAAGCCTTATCTATATATATATGAGTTGTGCTAAGTGTGTGGCTAATATAAGTTGTCAAAACCAATTTGAAGATTACAAAATTGCAAGAATGGTCAAAGGTGGAGACTAGTGCACTGGTTGTAGTAGATTGTAAAGTTTAAGTTGAATTCTTCCATGTACATCTATATATGTGTGTTGTATGATAGACATTTTGTTGTAATGAGTGAGAAAAAAGAAAGGATGTAAAAATGTGAAGAAATTGTTGAAACACTTGTGAAAAAAATAGAGAGAAGAAAAAAGAGTTTGAGAAAGAGTTATCCTAAGATAAAAATTAGTCAAAGTGTTGTAACACATGTTTTGTCTTTGTAAAAGTTTGATACTATTGTATTTGATCTATTCTTCTTATTCCATCTCCAACAAATGGTATCAGAGGAATTGAAATTTCCAACAAAGACTTCTTAAACACATAACATAAAATCATTAAAAACCCATTACTTAACTACTTGGGATGAGATGGTTGCTTTACATGGTATAATGGACGCGTGCATTATCCACACTTCAAGCTCAAAAGATTGGGTTAATACGGAGTCCTTCACAACATCCGGTTAATCAATTTGTAGTGATCTCCTTCTGCGCCCCACATGCATTTTCTTTTGAGCCTTTTAAATATCCTTACATCCAGAATTCACACAACTAAGAGCTAGGACATAAAGCAGCAAGCAAATAAAAACTATGATGGAAATTGAGGAATATAAGATGTAACCAAACTAATCGGTTGCTCGCAATGATAGTTCTTTGTTCTACTCCACCTCGATCGTAAATGCTTGCGTAGTTGTGTAACGGTTCTGCGTTAAAATTAGCTTTTTGCTTTTAATGACAAAAACGGATAGATGTAAATTCCCAACTGAGCTAGATAACGTATATATAAAGCACAATTCTTTCACTTTAAAAAACACCTATTATATGCTTGCATAATTAGTTATCGCTCTATTGCTAAAAGCTTGGCGAGTAATATATATTGTTCCAACTCACTAATTAACTTGTTCAATCCCATCTTTTCTGAACAATGTGTATATCTTTGTTTCTTTGGCAATCCCACCCACTCTACCCTTTTCTTCTTTTCAATAACAGAGATGAGTATCACAATAGGCAAGCTTTCTTTTCTCTCTCTTTTTTATTTTTCAAAGTTTTCTTACTATTTTAATTTTTGGAATTTGAATCTCATTAATTTTTTTTATTTTGTATTTCTTCTTGATGAAGGCCTACGAAGGCCGTGTCATGGTGGGAAGGTTGTGATATACTGGGAGGAAGGGACGAAATTGGAAGAGGGACATGGTTGGCTTGTTCTAAAGTAGGAAGAGTTGCTTTTCTTACCAATGTTTTGGAGCTTCATACAAACCCTGAGGCTAAAAGTCGCGGAGACTTACCCGTCCTATTTCTCAAGGTATATATAGACGCGCGCGCGGTTGATACATCAAAGCGTCATTGTCACAATTTCAACTGGCGAGATTTTTGTGTATACCTAATTTTTTATAAATCTTTCTGTTACATAATATTGCTTTATATTTGAAGTGATTATGAGCCCGTTTGGATGAGCTTTTTTTTCTTCGAAAGCTGTTTTTTTTAAGAAAAAAAAGCACTTCTCGGAAAAAGTCTGTCTGGATGCCTGCTTTTAAAAAAATCAGAAGTCATAAAAAAAGCCAAAAAATTACTTTTTTCGGAAGCTAAAAATTTTAGCTTCTCAAAAAACAGAAGTCAAAAGTCAAATATTTTTTTCAAAAATCAATTTTTTTTTAAAAAATCTAAATAGCTGTAACTTTTATAAAAAGTACTTTTAAAATAAGGAAATGATAAAAAGAACTTTTAAAAAAAGTGAATACAAACGGGCCCTATGTGCCTGTTATTGGTTAAGGACTTAGTATACATAAAGGGAAATAATATAAGTCTCGTGTTATGGATATTTGTTATTTCATGTCATAGACATAAAGCATGAGATTCCACTCTTTTAAAAATACAAAAGTAAAAATAAATGTTAACACAACTTTTGATATATAACTACGAAGAGTACGTTATTTCATGTAAAACCAGCCCTAAAAAACATTATCCTTATTTATGATGTTCAGCTCTTCTAACAGAACTATGGTTATCGGGTTCTTGTTTTCGGCACAAAGAGAACAATGTAGAAGAGGAATATTTATTTGGGGACTTTTTTGTTTTACCAAGAGATTCGGGCCGGGGTAGCATCACAGCTTTGTTTTAAAGTACGCATCTTAAGGCAAAATGACCTGTGTTTTTTACATTTCGTACAAAGCCTGAATTGTTCTCCAATCTCCATCTTATGCATCAGTATAATTGTTCAAATTAACTTCGAAACTGACTGTTTATATGTCTTCACTTTTTTCGTTTTTTGTTTTTCGTTCCCATGTTGATGAATAATGGCAGAGCAGCAAGAATCCCCAGGAATTTGCACAAAGCCTAAAAAAAGAAGCGCGTTATTACAATGGGTTCAACTTAATCGTGGCTGATATTGTGTCGAAATCCATGGTGTACATCTCCAACAGGCCCAAGGGACAACCTATTACCATTCAAGAGGTTCCTCCAGGGCTGCATGTACTTTCAAATGATAAGTTAGATTCACCATGGCACAAGGTTAGATAACATATTTGTTACTTAATGTAAGGGACGTCCCTTCCCTAAAATAAACTTTTAAATAAATAATTAATTATAACGTATGTTCTATGAAGGCTATTTATTAGAAATATGTAAATTATGCATTGCCTACTCTTTATCCAGGCTCAGCGCCTTGAATTCAGTTTCAAAGAGCATCTTGCTAAATATGGGGAAGGTGAGATACCTGTGAAGGAGGTAATTAAGAAGCTAATGAAGGACACAGTTAAAGCTGACGAAAGTGCACTACCTCATATATGCTCACTTGATTGGGAATTCAATCTAAGCTCCATTTTTGTTGAAGTTGAAACACCACTTGTAAGTCAAGAATTGCACTCCCACATTCTCATCAGTATCATGGAATGGAACCTTTGAATCACTGACCAATCCATCTATATATGCAGGGTCTATATGGCACTAGGAGCAGTGCTGCCTTAACCGTAAGATCAAGTGGGGAAGTGAGCTTTTATGAGCTTTATCTCGAAAACAGCATGTGGAAGGAGCATGTTATCAATTTCCATATCCGAAAGTTGAAGAAAACATATAGGACTATATAGAGCTATCTCGGATGAAGTAGCCGAGGCAAAAGCAATAACAAATTGCTAGTTTTCCTATGCTTAGTTAATGTATTCCATGATTTATATATGTAAGGAAGGATCAACATCAATTGATCCCTTCTCTTCATATTTATATACTTGATAAGATATGCTATCTATGAGCACGACTCGATGAGTGCTCGTGTATGAAGATTTAATCAGGAAACAAACTTAATGATTGATAACATATAAAATTGTACCAGCCAAAATATCAGTGTACACAATCAATTATTCTTTCTATTAGTCTTTTGTTATTATTATTATTTTAACGGGGGATACTTTTAGCTGAGAACAGATCAATTGATCAGTCCGAAAATAAAAAGACCGGCCATTTAAGACGTATACTGCTAACAAGAAAACAAATATGAAAAAGTAATTCTAAGGTGGGAGTGCTGAAAATTTTAAGTGTGAATATTTGGCAAAAAAAAAAATTAAAATATTATTATTTTAATAAATAATTACGAATAATAGCTGTTTCGAAACTATCTACGGATCTATTGCACTTATTCACGCTCAAATTAGGCGTGACTCCCAAGGCGTTCACGCCTAATTTAGGCGTGAATCATCTAGTGTTGACACGTGGCAAAAAAAGTCAACTTACGAACCGTAAAACTTTAGAAAACCATTACTTTTGACTCGGATATCCGAATGAGGTAATTCTTTTTTTGATTCCACATAAATTTTTGAGATCTACGCAATAACATCTCATTTGACATAGTTTATCTCTCACAGACACAATTCAAATTTGCAATAATTGTATTATATAGTGCATTACCAAAAAAAATTTAAAAAATTATTATTAATAAAAAAAACAAAATAAAAATTTAATTTGTGATTTAAACTCAAAAATCAATTTGAAAAATCTGTATTAATAAAGAAAATAATTAAATAAATATTCTAAACACTGGATAGAATATTATATAAATTTGTATATATTTTAATAATTAATTACGAATAAGTTTCCGTTTTGAACCTAATTACGAATATATTGCACCCATTCACGTCCAATAATGGTACTATAACATTAAATTCAAAATTTAAAATTCAAATAACCTCCAATAAGTTGATTGCATATTGTATTTAATAGAAGTTGATTGTGTTTTCTATTTAATAGGAGCTGATTGCGTTATAATTTTATGAGTTGGTTAAGATTGTCGCCAATTCAAATAAATTTGCTGGAGGTTATTTGAATTTTGAATTTAATGTTATAGGAGTTGATTGTGTTTTGTATTTAATAGGAGCTGATTGCGTTTTGTATTTAATAGGAAACTTGGTGCCATCTTATTTATAGATGAGTTAATCCACTTTCATGTCATCTTTATAGTATCATTGTTGCAAATTTGAGTTATGTTTGTGAGAGATAAAATGTATCAAATGAGATGTCATTGCATAGATCTCGAAAAGTTACGTGGAATCAAAAAAATCACGCCTAATTTAGACGTTAATGCCTTGGGAGTCACGCTCAATTTGGGCGTGAATAGTTACGCCTAATTTGGACGTGAATGAGTACAATAAATTTGTAGATAGTTTCAAAATAGCTATGTATTCGTAATTATTTATTAAAATAGTAATATTTTAATTTTTTTCCGTGAATATTTAACTGTAAACAAGCGAGTATTATTTAACTGTAATAGACCAAAACCAATGTGTAGCGATTGAACAAACTAAACGGATGTGCACGACTTCAAACTTTCCATATTATTTTCGTTCTCCAGGTTATTGTAACAAGGGTTCTAGCTAATGCATAATATTAGCTTCGTAAAAATGCTGTGATCCAACATTTTTTTTTACACTCTCCTGGCTACTAAAGAAATTTCCTATAGCCCCAAACCTTTAACAGCAGTAGGCTACGACGAGCCAAACCAGTAAATATTTAACTTTTTAAGTTCATCCCCAAGAGTCCATCTTTGCAACCGAGAGCACCTAAACTTCCAAGACCCATTATGAATGGGCCTAACTGTCTATTAGGACATAAGGAGATGGAGAACCCAATGTCTTAATCCGACCAAACTCAATTCCTCATAAGTAGCTTAACTATCTAATAAAAGACCAATGACGACGCCCTGGTGGTGATACATTAGTTTAACCCATGATAAATTGTACAAAAGGAAATTGTTTCCATTAATTCTCTATCGTATGAAGTGAACATGAATACAAATAAATAGGCCTATGGCTGTTCCTGATGGGTGCAACTACTTCCTAAATATATGCAACAGCTAAGATGCTACTATCCTAGAATACATCAAATAACAAAATAAGCTAGGAAAAAGGTATCCTAACAAACTAAGATAACAACCAATCTACAACTAATAACAATCAGATCAGATCGAATCTTCTATTCCAACACTCCCCCTCAAGTTGGAGCATGAAGATATGAAATGCCTAACTTGGGAAGGAAAGCCATAAAGGAAGCGCGTCCAAGTGCCTTTGTGAAAATATCCGCAAGTTGGAACTGAGATCGAACAAAAATAGTACGGATAGTCTTGGATAACAACCGTTCCCGGACAAAGTGGCAGTCAATTTCAATGTGTTTGGTGCGCTCATGAAACACAGGGTTGGCTGCAATGTGTAGAGCCGCTTGATTGTCACAACACAACTCCATTGGATCATCATGAAAAACATTAAGAGATGCAAGAAAGGACTTCAACCAAACTAATTCAGCCGTGGTGGTTGCCATGGAGAGGGTATTCAGCTTCTGCCGAGGAGCGTGAGATGGTGAGCTGCTTCTTTGTTTTCCATGAGATAGGTGAATTTCCAAGCATAATAAAGAACCCAGAAACTGACCTACGAGTTAAAGGACAGCTGGCCCAATCGGAGTCACAAAAAGCATGAATTTTGAGATCACTCTTGGAAGGAAGGAGAATTCCTTGGCCAGGATTCATTTTGAGGTATCGTAATACTCTGATAGCAGCTTCATAATGCACTTCCTTCGGAGCTTGCAAGAACTGGGAGAGAATATGCACGGCATAGCTTAAATCAGGCCGAGTTATTGTAAGATAGACTAGCTTACCCACAATTCGTCTATAACGTCCCGGATCACCATAGGCAGGACCATCATCTAGAGCCAAACGATGATTTTGTTCAATTGGGAACTGAACTGGTTTACAATCCAACAAACCAGTTTCTTTGAGAATATCCAACGCGTATTTACGTTGACACAAGAAAATACCGTCATCATGACGAGCAACTTCGATGCCTAAAAAATATTTCAACTGGCCCAAATCCTTAATTTTGAAGCATTTGTTAAGATAAGCTTTAGCCTCTTGACATGCCTGTGAATCATTCCCTGCCAACACCAAATCGTCAACGTAGATCAAAATGGCTAAGAAACAAGGACCACGCTGCAAAGTGAATAAAGTGTGATCTGCTGCAGATTGAATAAAACCATATTGGACAAGAGAAGTGCTTAGTTTTGCAAACCAATTTCTGGGAGACTGTCGCAAACCATATAAGGACTTTTGTAGGCGACATACTTTGCTTCCTTGCCCTTGATTAAAGCCAGGTGGGATGCGCATGTACACTTCTTCATCAAGATCGCCGTTAAGGAACGCGTTATGAACATCCATTTGATGTAAATACCAACCTTTTGCTGCTGCAACCGAGAGTAAAGTTCTAACACTCACCATTTTCGCTACTGGAGCATAAGTCTCAGTGAAATCCTCGCCTGGAATTTGGTGATTGCCTGCGATTACTAATCGGGCTTTGTAACGCTCGACGCTGCCATTTGAGTGATATTTAATTTTATAGACCCATTTACATGGAAGAGCATGCTTCCCAGCTGGTAACTCGGTGATAGCCCATGTATGATTTTCTTCTAGGGCTTGGATCTCTTGTGCCATGGCTTGACGCCATTCGACATTTGCCATAGCTTCTTTAAATGAGCGAGGTTCAGTTCCTGTGTCAATAGCAGCAACAAACATGCGATGTTTTGAAGAAAATTTGTTAGTGGTTACATAGTTTGCAATAGGGTACCGCATACCTGAGGTAGAAGTGGAAGAGGTGAGAGCAGGTGGTGGTGTATGTGTTGTGATCATATTACAGTTGTAGTCATTCAAGTATGATGGTGTTCGTCGTGTTCGTGCTGGACGATGAGACTCAGGTTGAGTTGTTTCTTCACTTCGGGGCCCCAAATCACAACTGGGCTCTTCAGTTCTATGTACTAGAGTAGGTGCTGGATTTAGATTCCCTTGCATGGGATCAGGAGGTGATGGAGAATGCTCAAGGTGCTCAGAACTGCACTCTGTTGCACCACGTGTAGAACTCCCCCTGGCGTCGGGCTGTGCTTCAAGTACAGAACTTCGTGATGGATGATCAGGGACATGTGGGGTCACTTCATTCGAATCTTCTTGAAGAGAAGAAGGCAATAAAGGACGCGGAGTAGGTAAGTCTGCCGCAATAAATGGAAACTCCTCCTCATGAAAGCTAACATCTCGTGAAACAAAAAATTCCTTAGTATCAAGGTCATAAACCTTCCAACCTTTCTGCCCATAAGGATAACCAATAAACATGCACCTTCTAGATCTTGGGCTGAACTTGTTTGCTGGTTTCGGTTGCGTCACCACGTAACATAAGCAACCAAATACCTTTAAGTGCCCATAGTCATCAGTGTACCCATGCAGAATTTCATGAGGGGTCTTTCCATGAAGAACCTTGGTTGGAGTTCGATTAATTATGTGGGCAGCAGCCATGACACTTTCCCCCCAGAATTTAATAGGCAAGTTAGCTTGAAATAAAAGTGCTCTGGACACGTTTAAAATATGCCTGTGTTTTCTTTCTACTCGTCCATTTTGTTGTGGCGTATGGACACATGATTTCTGATGAAACACACCATTTTCAGTGAATAATTCAGCCATCTTATGAGAAGTAAATTCTGTGCCATTATCTGTCCGAACTGATTTAACCGTTGTATTAAACTGATTTTGCACCATTAGAAGGAATTTTCGCAGAAATAAATACGTTGCACTTTTATCATTCATTAAGCAAACCCATACAGCACGACTAAAGTCATCAACTATGGTTAAGAAGTAATAAGCACCCGAAGAAGAGGGAGTTCTATAAGGACCCCATATATCACAATGAATCAGATCAAATACTTTATTGCTTTTGCGATCACAAATAGGAAAAGAGGATCGAATTTGTTTGGCACGATAACAGACATCGCAAGCCTTTTTATTCATACTGCAAAATTGAAAACCTCTAGAAAAAGAGAGCATAGAAAGTGCTTCAGGTGATGCATGTCCCAACCGCTTGTGCCAAAGCTCTTGTGAATCATTTGAACGTGTTGTGAAGGCTGCTACTTGGCTTGGTCTCAACACATACACACCATCCTTTTGGTCACCCAATCCAATCTCCGTCCTCAGCTTGCGGTCCTGTAACACACAACAATCATGAGTAAACACCACATCAACGTTTTGTTGTCGTATCAATTGAGAAACTGATATCAGATTACACTTTAGATTAGGAACAAATAAAACGTTGGATAAAGAAAAATTGTCAAATAAAACAGATCCTTGTTGCTTTGCATAAGTGACAACTCCATTAGGTAAAGCTATTGACAAAGGCTCAATGGTCGTAATGTTTGCAAATAAGTCCAGAATTCCTGTCATGTGGCGCGATGCCCCACTATCTATAAGCCAATGTGAATTTTTACCAATTAATTTTTCCTCCGATTGTTGAGGCTGATCAACCAGTGTGAGTAGTTTTGTTACTACATCTGGTGTCAAAACAGGAAAAGCATTTGCTTGCTCAGATGAGTCCTCCGTTTGTGCTGCGTTTGCAGCAAAAGGCTTTGCATAGGAACCTCCTTGTGAGTTGAGCCATCCCCCTTGTGAGTTACTTCTGTAACCACCAAAGCGGCCACGACCTCGCCCCCTTCTACCGTCGCGGCTGAGAGCTTCGCGCCCCTTGCCTTCGTCACGACCAGGGAATCCGAATGCTTGCCAGCAACGCGAGGCCTCGTGATTATTTCTGCCACAATGGATGCATGGAGGACGATCGGCAAACCGGTCCTTGGCTGGTGCAGGTGCTTGTACTGCATTTCCAACTTCATCATTACGAGGAGTCTGATTTCGAGTGATAGCTCTGTGAGTCTCTTCCTGGGTCATAATGGCATACACCTTATTCATCGTTGGAAGAGGTGAATTGTTGAGGATTTGAGACCGCAAATTGCCATAGACATCATCAAGGCCCATAAGGAACTTGTATACCTGATCATGTTCCACTTCTTCTTCAACTGCCTTTGCATATGCGCAGTTTGCTCCACACGGACAATGTGTATAAGTTTTGCTGCTGGCGAGCTCATCTCAGACAGCCGATAGCTGCATGTAGTATTCTGCAATGGTGGTACCTTGCTGCCTTATGGTGGCCAAACTAGCCTTGAGTTGGTATTGACGAGTAAAATTTTCGACAGCGTACCTTTCCTTCAGGTCATTCCAGAGGTCTTTTACCTCATCAAAGCACTTAATGAACGGTTGCAATTTCTGATCGATGGTATTGTGTATCCATCCGTTGATCATGGAATTACACATCTCCCAGGCGCGCCACTCCTCTGCTTGCGCCTTGTCAGGTTTCTTAATGGATCCATCAATGAATCCCAACTTGTTTTTTGATTTGAGGGCATTTTTCATGAGTTTTGCCCAGTTCTCATAATTTGCTTCCCCTCTCAACGTAACATTTGTCAAGAGAATGCCAGGATTATCTGAACCGGCGAGATAGAAATGTGAACCCGGGTCTGTGGGTTTCGTTCCACTAGTGGTCATCTTCAAGTAAGACTGAAATCTGCTCACAGCTTTAGAGTTGTGCACGTCTGCGGAAGTGTTTAGGAAAGACAAGCTCTGATACCATGATAAATTGTACAAAAGGAAATTGTTTCCATTAATTCTCTATCGTATGAAGTGAACATGAATACAAATAAATAGGCCTATGGCTGTTCCTGATGGGTGCAACTACTTCCTAAATATATGCAACAGCTAAGATGCTACTATCCTAGAATACATCAGATAACAAAATAAGCTAGGAAAAAGGTATCCTAACAAACTAAGATAACAACCAATCTACAACTAATAACAATCAGATCAGATCGAATCTTCTATTCCAACAACTCACATAATAGGAAGAGTATGTTTTGGCACCCTTGAAAAATTTAATAAAAGAAGAGGTAAATCAAGGTGTTTGGCTTTATTTTTTAATATATATTTATTGTCAAACCGTTTGAGAAGCACTGTTGTGTTTTTTTAAGGCTTATGGGGTTGTTATAAATTTTTTTTTTATTGCAACCAATAAACTATATACATCTACCGACACATATTACATGTCGACCAACACATACTGCATCCAGGTATGGAACTGGCACGTTGCAAAGATCCAAATACTTACCAAAAAAGGATGGTAGATTCCTAAATCTCAATGGTGAAGATTTTGCCACAATCTCGCGTTATCCAATTAGCCATCTATCATTCTCTTGAAAACGACCTTTTGCTTTTTAAGTCGGTGTGGTGTGACAAGGGGCTCACAACAACTTGTCAATTTTATTTTTTTTAACATCCTAGCTGTTAAATTAGACTAAAACAGATTCAAATCTTTAATTCACAATCACACCCAACTTGACGGAGGTGGTCCAATTATATAAAATATACGCCCTCTAAAGAAAACTAAGTAGGTTATGTCTAATAATGAAGATGTAGATATTGGTGCTGGAAATCAAATTAGATTAATAGCGCATATAGAATTTGGGCACTTAATACGCAAACGCAGGCAGAGCTTTTGTAAGTCATTTTAACGGGACATCAAAATAAAAATGGGGACAAAAAAAATATTAAACTTCAGGCTCATCAGGCCTTTCACAGAGATTAGGGGTTTCTTGCATGACTTTAATTTCTTTTGAATGTGAATGGGGACATCTGTTAGCAAGGGACTTCAACTTTCATGACAGGGGCCTTAAGCTTATCGAATAAAAGGTCAATTCTTCCTTTGTTTTGGTCGGCAGTCTGTAGTAAAATAATCAATTTTTTTAACATTTGAACACCAAACCCATCATCAAATCATGGAAGTTGGAACACTCGGAAGCTAATTCAGCCCAATATGCAACATTGATATTTTAATTGAGCCTAAGGTATAATCACATCAACTCTTAACAAAAGGGATTTCCCAAGGTACTGTACTTCTTTCCTTTCCCATCTGCTACTACCGCCCAGCATCTTATCCCCCATTTAAAAAAAAAAAATTGTTTTGAGAGAATACCATGTATTTACACGTTTCGCATGAGTTTATTCAGTCTGTTTAATTTTCTATTTTTGGACGACATGATTTCAGTTTCAGATAGCTTAAATACAAGAGAACAAGAGTGGTTTGGGACATGCAAGCGTGCTACTGCCAACTAGTGGTGCATGACGGGATGATTAGAAAACCAGGGATGACAAAATAAGCTTAAAGCAAATATAATTCTTGATACTATTGTTTCAAATATACAATAGCAAGCAAGGAGTTTATCCGAAGACAAAGTTGATCATCTATTCGACCTCTCATCCAAAAAAAAAAAAAAGGAAAATATCTCCACAGAAGTAGCTCTCTAGAGGCAAAATCTATAACTTGCTTCTCCACTAAACTCAACAGAAAAATAACCCTGGAAACACATCTTGAAAAATAAAATTTTAAACCTATTTTGGAAATCCTTCAGTATATATGCACATGGAGTTGCTCCTGTAAATCTTGGAGGCACTCAACTCCATTAAAACATGGAGTCTAGATAACTATAAGGGCGTTTTCTGATGAACTCCATCAAGCTACCATAGGTTCGGTCAGCAATACCAACTAATAGAGCCTCTGTGTCCGGGCTAAAGGATACACCAGCGATCTCACCAAATAGATCTATCTCTTGACCTTGTACATAACCAGAATGTGAGTCAAATATATGGACAAAGTCTGCCGGTTCAGCCATGGCCAAAAACCGTCCATCTGACGAGAACCTTAAGGCTCTTATTGCACCCATTCTTCCCTTTAGCACAGCCATGGAATGGGAAAGATTTCTGATGTCCCACAACCTGCATGTTGTGTCCTGATTCCCAGTAGCCAATATTCGTCCATCTGGGTGCCATGCCGACGCAAAAGAATAGTCCAGGTGCCCTTTTAGGCTCTCAGTAACCTGGGAGATACCATTAATAATATACAAAAGAAATTAAACAAAACACCATGGATCATAACACCTTAAAAACAACTGCAAATTAAACTTACCGTCCCGGTGTTAGCATCTGCTATCAAGCACTCAGCACTGTCTCCTAGAACAGCTAACAACTTTCCGTCCGGACTAACCGAAACATTCTGCAAAGGCCAATATATAATCATCATTGTTATTTGCTAAAAGTGTTCCTAGAGATGAAGATCTATAGTAAAAGGAATATCTGTTATGACACTGACATTAACAGACCAATCATATTTGAAACAACCAAGAGAAGCAAAATTCTCTGCATCAAAAACCCGAACTTGGGAATCATTATTTCCTGCGATGACCCTCAATGACCCACTGCAAAATGAAGGATCAGTTACAAACCAAACCAAAACTAAAAACTTTTAACATAAGGTTATGCATTAAGCTGCATACGTCGGATTGCGGTAAACATCCACATCATTGGTCATGGCATTATCATCGGTAGTTATTTTGCTGCAGAATGCAACTCCGGAATGTTTCAAATTCTGGTCAACAAATAATTAACACGCATTAAAAAAGAAGGCCTTCATATGATCGATATATTTGATTGAAAGAAGTCATGATCTACCCTACCTTGCAAACAAGCTCACCACGGAAACCACCTGCCACCATCAAATTTTCCTTAACAGCCATGGTGCTTATTTGCACTCTCAAGGCAGGCTGAGCAAAAAACCCAGGACGCTTCTGCAAAAAGAATATAATAACACTCATCCAATGCGTTGAGTATGAAAGAAATACATGTGATCAACTAAGTGGCTACGTACAAGGGTTGGAACAATCGGTTGAGTCATGTTTAGAACTTCTTTAGCCCTTCGTAGTAATGAGGACCAATGCATCAGTGAAAAGTTTTGCATAAAGTATACATCATGCTTTGATGTTGCCCACAACATATTCCTCAGCTGCACACACAAGAAACATATTGATGACATCAATATCAATCCAACTGGGCAGAAAAAGAAGAAGTTAAATACATGATTATGGTAAACAAGCTACTAATATCGCTCAAGACAAAACAAGCAACACACACCATCACTGGACATACCCAGTTAATTAAAAATGTTTCTATCAAAGTTACATTATTAGGGGATTCAGGTATACAATGTCAAGGAGTTTCGTTAGTATTGCCCGTGGCCAAACTACAGTTGATGACACTGACGTAGAAAGGAGAACGTGGAATACAAAGGCAGAGAACAGAAAAGGCTACGGTTATAATAAAGTGTAAACACTGGAATGGTTATTGTACAAAAAATCAAGCAAGAAGCAACATCATGAAAATCCACAATCACCAGTGTATGGGGAGAGTTTATGAAACCAAACAGCAAGGACAGCAAGAAAATACAGAACTTTTGAAAAGAATAAACTTGACCATACATGTTTCCAACAAATTAAACCAAGTGCTTCATGATGACAAAAAAAGTGGAATTAACAAATATTCTAAAAAACTAGGTAATTTATAAAAAAAAAGAAAAAACATAGTTCCATGAAGCATGAGTGATCCTCATATAAATGCTAAATCAAACATCTAAGATTCTAAAGCGGTAATCAGGTAATAGACTATCAAAGTAGAAAAATGAATTAACACAAATTAAACAGTAACAAAAATGATAACTCTGCTATAGACAATAAGATCCTAGAAATATACAGCCAAACACGAAGAGGCAAAGCCCTGCTCGACAAGAACAAATCAGCGCCAACTCATAACAGATATTGTTAGAGCCCTCTAAAATGTGGTCAGATATTTTCCTATCATACCATAAAATAACGTCCTGCCAAGCTGCTCACTTCCCACCTGCTTTAAAAGCCAACATAAAGAGAGAAATAGAAGTCCTAAATGCAGAAACAGGTTAAGACAAAAATTAAATTACAGAAACATATATTGCCATAGTCACTACATGCACAGAACTATAAAGGCAAATGAATAATAAAATGTACAAGAGAATTATCATACATATAGAGTAACAGACATAATAATGAGAAACAACAATGGAAAATAAAACCATTCAAGGTGCAAAAAAGGGTACTGATCAATCATGGCTTCACAGGACTAAAATATTTGGCTTCAGAACCCTAAACAGATTCCTGGTTTAGAGAAAACTAACGTAACATAGGCCAACTTCTCGTAGTACAAGACTGCTATTCCGGTTAAAAACAATATCGGTATAATACAATTCATTTGCACTGAATCTTAATCAGAAATCCACATGAAATTCTGGAAGCCAATGGTATAAAGTTGACAAATTGTTGTGTATGGATGTGCATAGTAGGTGGCTTTGTGTGCATCTACACTATGTTGCAACTTGCATGTAAGCACATCAAACATATGGAACAAGATCTTTTACAGGAAATCACCAAAATTTTGAGAATGCCAAGTCATACCATATCCTTGATGCATCCATATCCATAAATTGGCATGAAACTGCCTTGTCTGTAGAAAAGAATATATGGCATCTATTGGAGATAATTCTATTGAAAATGTTGAACTAGAGTGTTGAACTAGAGTGTGCAAGGCAAGAGAAAAGCAGCCTTCAGGAACATTTACCCAAAGAGGAAAAAGAACATTTAGTGAATAAAATTCTGATTCAAAAGCCTTCAAGTACAGCAAATAATAAAGAACCTGTGGATACATCTTTTCAAAGAATTTATCGTAAAGAAGACTCTTCAACAAAAAGACTGGGCATAGCATAAATTTAACCAGGGACAAAATTGTTTACAAAACTGGTTTTAACACAAATTCTTATAAGTTCGCGGGGAAGAACAAGGTTTTTACAAATTAGTCCTAAAAACTTTTCAAATTTCAAGTTTGTTGGGAGCTTGCAAATGTAAAATCCAAAGAGATTTGATTTAAATTCTTATATAAAGTTGGCAGACTTTAATTCCATCCGTGTGTAAAGGAATGATACAGATTACACAATCCTGCAAAACTTGAATACAGAAATTATACATAGCAAAACACGTTATAGTCATGTAACATTATCAGCAAGGTATGGCTGCGAACAACAGCATAAAAAATAAACAAATCAAATAAAGATGATAACTTAGCAGACCAATGAACACAAATGTCCTGGAACTTGCATAGTTAAAGAAATTGGTATCAATTAAATAATTCTCTACCTGGAAATGCAAAATTGTCGGTTTGACAAGCCTGGTATTGAACTGGAAGTCATAGAAGGTATTCCCTTTCTGCACTTCCAAGAACTCCTGTCAACCAAAAGAACAAAAAAAAAAAAAAAAGTTAAAAGTTTGAAAATACGTTACGAAATAGTAATTGTAACTTTCCTCAGAAACCAAGGTGAATAAAAATCACCTTGTCCAGATTCTCACGAGAGTGAGAGAGGCTCTCGTAGTTTTTGTACTGTTTCAAACGATTCTCACGGTATTGTTCTCTACTGTGACCAAGCCTCTCCCACCGAATTCCCTGAATATCTTTCCCGTTTCTCGCCTCCGAAGCAGTGGTATCAGTCTTCGCATTTCTCTGCTGCAAAATCTAAATCTCTCATCATCTCATATACGAAACAAATACTTACAAAAAAAAATTGTGAAACAAGTGTACCGTTTCAAAATCATCTTCGAAATCGGAGTCCTGAGAATCAGAACCGGAGTTTGGTTGAGAAACATTGTCGGAGAAGATGTCTTCGTCTTCGAAGTCGTAATTGTTTTCAACAAAGTAATCGAGACCATCGTTGTAATGTGCCATCATCATAGTTTCTTTCTTTCTTTCTTTCTTTCTTTTTTTCCAAAAACAGAAACAAGAAGGAAGGAAGAATGTAAAAAGGGCAAAGGACAAAGTTCCAGGGGGTGCTGTACTTATAGAGAGTGTTGAAGGAAGGTGAAGGTCGTTGATAATGGTGGGGCCCCTTCGGTATTAAAGGAGAATGGAATCTGTGGGCTATGTTGTGGGCTCCACTTAACCCCGTTACTTTTCTTACTCCTGCCGTTTCCTTCAGATTTCTTTATAACACGGACGCCAAGCCTAGGATTGGGTTTTGCTTTTTAATTAGGACGTAAAATACGAATGATATGATAAAATATGTGCATTTCGTAAAATAAAAAAGATTTTGGTAAAATTAAGATCAGAATAATTTACGTTACTTTACAAATTTCATGATCTATTATTATAATTGTTACTTTTTTTAAGTTATTTTAAATTATTTTAAAGAAAATATTTTGTTTGTTTTAAATATAATTAATCTAAAGAGGAAGGTTATACTTACAATTTTTTTTTTACAACCATATATCATAACTGTTGATTTCCGCTAATCAACGATTGTCATTTATTATGAATTAATAATTAATTAATGATTTTAATTTGCGAAAATCATAACCGTTAATTGACGGAAATCAACGGTTATGATATATGGTTGTAAAAGATTGTAAAAAAAAGTTATAACTATAACATTTCCCTAATTTAAAATATTTTAAAAATCATTTCAAATTTAATATTTTCAGCATATATATATTTATAGGAAACGATCCAGTTATAAATTTTTTTATAAATTATATATATATATAAAAGAATAATTTTTTAAGAATTATTCATCTCCTACTGACCGTTCGAAAATCGTGCAATACTTTTATTTTTATTTTTATTTTTTTAATAAATGGTAGCCCATATATACTTGTATCTGTGATATAAGATGAAATATTTCAAACAATATATATATATATATATATATATATATATATAGGTAAAATTATTTCTGTAGCCGCTTCACGTACAGTAACGACGGGTGTATGGTTATGATTTTTCACATTTAATGCTTCCATCCTTTGTATGGTTATGATTCCCCGCATTTCATGCTTTTAAGTATATATATGGCAAGTATTTGATTGTTGCACGTACAACAGCGGCAGAAATGTAAATCTCATATATATATATATAATATATATATATATATATATATAAGGGAAGGATATTGTGACAACCAAGTTATGTTACTGACTACCAATCAATCTTACCGTTAGATCAATTATATTGATCCAACGGGTATATTTATTTCCATTTTTGTATGGTCGTGATTCCCCAAATTTAATACTTTATATCTATTTTCACCTTTGTATGGTTATGATTTCCCATATTTAATGCTTTCACTTTAAATATGGAGAATCATAACCATACAAAGATGAAAATAAATATAACCGTTGGATCAACATAATCAATCTAACGGTGAGATTGATTGGTAGTCACTTGGTAGTAACACAACTTGATTGTCACAATATCCTTCCCTATATATATATATATATATATATATATATATATATATATATATATATATAACAAAGAGTTTTATAAGAGTTATATTGCAGGAAAAGTGATTGTGTAATGTTATAGAAATTCGTTTTGAGTGCCGTAGTTTTTTTTTTTTTTTTTTGCGCTTCAAAAACTGTGAGCTCCATAAAATATTATGTGTGTAAAAAAAATTTTTGTGGCATGTTAAGTGATGAATGCAAACCCATAAACAAATGATCCTGAGTGTAGAGAGATAGACTCACACAAACTCAATTGGCACTCTCATTTTTTACAATTTTGGTAGCAACCAAATAGAATAAATATTATTCCTGATTTATCAATTGAGGTTAATTAATATAAATTTAATGTTAAAAGGATAAAAATAATAAAATTTAATAATACTAATTGATATCATTATAGTTAATTAATATCAATTTAATAATTTTAATTTTAATTGATATCAATCACAATTAAATGATACTTATATGATTATTTTCTTAAAAGACCGTCGTTGCTATAATTTGTCTTAAAAATGAGCACATTAATTATAATTTGACTATTGATTTTTTCCTTATTTAATTTGTAAAAAAATTTGCCTGTGTCAATCACAATTAATTGATATTAATATGATTATTTTCTTAATAGACGTGGTTGTTATAATTTATCTTAACAATGAGCACATTAATTATTATTTGATATTGATATAATTTGCCTATTGATTTTTTTCCTTATTTAATTTGAAAAAAAAATTGCTTGTATCAATCACAATTAAATGGTATTAATATGATTATTTTCTTAATGTACCGTGGTTGCTATAGTTTGTCTTAACAATGAGCACATTAATTGTAATTTGAAATTAATATAATTTGACTATTAATATTTTCCTTTTTTAATTTGTAAAAAAAATTGCTTGTATCAATTAAAATTTAATGATATTAATATGATTATTTCCTTGATGGACAGTGATTTAGGGGTGAAATTGGGTCGGGCCGGCCTACAGGTGCCTACAGCTCGACTTACGTCAGGCCAAATCTGACCTAGTATATTTCGCAAAATAGGTCGGGCTTTAGCCTTGAAAAAAGCTTGTTTAATAAATAGACCGTATATCCACTTTCACAAGGCCTAGATTGTAAGCCTACAGGCCGGCCTATATTCTACTATTTATTTTAAATAAAATAAAATAAGTATGTCCGAAAGAAAAAACAAAAAATATAAATTTAATCAATTGTTATTATTTATAACTTAATTATATTCGATTATATTTTAATATAAATCTGAATTTATTTCTAATATAGGAGAAACTAACATCTTAGCATGTTAGATTGTGTATATGAATATATTAAAAGGTTTTTAGAAGATGTTATACTTACTACAAGCATCGTGTTTGTTGGACTCATGTAGTTATTTTTAATTTACATAGTATGAATTTATTTGTTGGATCTCATTAAATATATGTTATTTAGTTTCAACATTTTGCTTTTGAAAGTGACTTAGATGTAGATTGTGATAAGTTTTGTTGTGATTAATGATTTTGTTTGGACGCTGAAATTGTGATTTTGGTTTAGTAATAGAATTTGAGTATTTTATAAATTTCATTCATGGTTCTGCTTGAAAGTTAAAAATTAACAGGCTAACGGATTAGGCTAGGCCATTTGTTTTTTTATAAACGGGTCAAGTCAGGCTAACAGTTAGGTTCGTACTAGGTTTGAGTCATGCCAAATTGAAATTTATTGGTATAGCTTGGGCTTTTCGAGGCAAAGTTTGGCCCAATCCAGCCCACTTTCGCCCCTAGTGATTGCTATAATTTGTGAACAATGAGCATATTCATATAATTTGACTATTATTTTTTTTCTTTTTTAATATGTAATTTTTATTTTACTTTTAACCGAGTTTTTTGAATGAATATTAAAAAGATTGTTGTCAAATTATTCTTACTATTAACAATAAATTTTACGTTTGTGAAAATTATAAGTTTCCAAAATGTTTTATAAGACCAAATAAAATTATTTATGATGTTAAATAATATTTTACCCAATTAATTTAATTTTAAATTCCAATTAAATACTGATTTCTAATTTAAATTTAAAATAATAATGTATAATTTTTAATTCTACAATTACAAAAAAAAAATTATTTACACGTGAGTGTTATTTTTTCGGAAACTTTAGAAAAAAATTAATCTTCTTATTGACATATTCAATAAATTTTAAAGTATCATACTTATGGTTAATAATTACAATTTGAAGAATAATTTTTGTATTTTCCAATATGTTCAAAATAAAATATTTTAATTTTAATTTTTTTAACAAACATTAAAAATATCAAACATCAAATCATTATTATTAACTATAAATTTCATTGTTTGACTTCATAAAAAATTTAAAATATTTTAGAATTATTCATGGTGTCAAATAATTGTTATATAATAAATTTAATGTTAATTTCAATTTAAATACTAATTTTTAATTTAATTTCAAAATAATAATGTTAAATTGATATAAATTTGATCAAATTATAAAAAAATATTTATATATGTGGGTTGTTTTCAGAAAACAAATTTAAAATTTAATTATCTAATTGATCTTATTCGCAATAAATTTAACATGCTTGAATTTGCGTGATTTTGTAATATTATTAGACAAATGATAATTATTTGTTATTATTTATTATTTAATTTAAAAGACTTAATTTTAATATCTAATTTGATACAAAATAATAATGCCAATTTCTAAAAATAATTATTAAAATATGAGTATTCATGGACAAAATAGAAAAGAAAATAAAAAACAGTAATCAAGTTGTCATTATTGAGAATAAATTTGACATTTTTGTATTTATAGAGAATTTGAATGTTTAATTGAAAAATGAGAATTATTTGTTGTTAATTATTATATGACTCAATTAATTTAATGTCAAATTTGATTTAATGATAAAACAGTGTTTTTTTGTTGTTGGGGAAAGTGTTTGTCATTTTAAATGACATAAAATTATGTCATTTTAAGAGAAAGATAGACACAAAAAAATATATTTTAATTTAAAATTTAAATTAAAAAACCGAGAAAAGTGTTTGTCATTTTGAATAACATAAAGTTATGTCATTTTAAGAGAGAGATAGACACAAGAAAATATTTTTTTATTT